TTGTAAGTGTGTGTGTGAATACAAGTACTATTGTAAGTGTGTGTGTGAATACAAGTACTATTGTAAGTGTGTGTGTGAATACAAGTACTATTGTAAGTGTGTGTGTGAATACAAGTACTATTGTAAGTGTGTGTGTGAATACAAGTACTATTGTAAGTGTGTGTGTGAATACAAGTACTATTGTAAGTGTGTGTGTGAATACAAGTACTATTGTAAGTGTGTGTGTGAATACAAATACATTGTAAGAGTGTGTGTGTGTGTGTGAGAGTGCAAGCACTATTGTAAGTGTGTATGTGAATACAAGTACTCTTGTACGTGTCTAATACAAGTACTATTGTGATTGATACAAAAGTACATGTAGCAAAGACTCAGGTACTATTGTACATGTCTAATACAAGCACTGTTTTGTGTCTGATACAAAAGTACTTGTATCAGACACTCAGCTATTATTGGACATGTTTAATACAAGTACAGTACTATTATGTCTGATACAATAGTACTTGTATCAGACACTCAGCTACTATTGTATCTAATACAAGTACTATTGTATGATTTATGCAGCTGTAAACAGTAGAATTCGCTTTGTTATTTTTGTATTTTGCACATTCAACACAAACTACGGTGTTAAGGCCAGTGTTCTTATTTTGCAAATCATCAGTACAATAATTTTCCCCGAACGACCTTTAGTACTTGTGTGAGCATGTGCGGAACTCGAGTGGCATGTGTTAGAGAACGCGAGTGGGACATGTTACAGAACGCGAGTGGAACATGTTACAGAACGTGAGTGGGACATGTTACAGAATGCGAGTGGGACATGTTACAGAACACGAGTGAGACATGTTACAGAACGTGAGTGGGACATGTTACAGAACGCGAGTGGGATATGTTACAGAACACGAGTGGGACATGTTACAGAATGCGAGTGGAACATATTACAGAACGTGAGTGGGACGTGTTAAAGAACGCGAGTGGAACATGTTACAGAACGTGAGTGGAGCATGTCACAGAACGCGAATCAAACATGTCACTGGACGCGAGTTGAACATGTCACAAAATGTTAATCAGTCGTGTCACTGGATGTAAGTGGAACATGTCACTGAACGCGACTGGAACATGTCACAGAACATGAGTGGAACGTGTCACAGAACATGAGTGGAACGTGTCTAACGTGTTGAATGATGAACGCAGTTTTAATTTTAAGTGAATGGTGTGTGAAATAAAGGAACTTTTTGCATTTTATATATATAGAGAAAGTATATAGCAAACATTTCACATGTAGAAAAATACTGTACTTCACTTATAGAATCTCCATTGAAAATAAAAATTTACACAGTGTTTGAGTGTAATTATTGCATGAATCCCTTTGTGGGTTAACCTGAGTTAGTGAGAGGTTAACATGGGTTAGTGAGGGGGGTTAACCTGGGTTAGTGAGGGGTTAACATGGGTTAATGATGGGGTTAACATGGATTAGTGAGGGGTTAACATGGGTTAGGGAGGTTAACCTGGGTTAGTGAGGGGTTAACATGGGTTAGTGAGGGGGGTTAACCTGGGTTAGTGAGGGGTTAACATGGGTTAGTGAGGGGGGTTAACCTGAGTTAGTGAGAGGTTAACCTGGGTTAGTGAGGGGGGTTAACCTGGGTTAGTGAGGGGTTAACATGGGTTAATGATGGGGTTAACATGGGTTAGTGAGGGGGGTTAACCTGGGTTAGTGAGGGGTTAACATGGGTTAATGATGGGGTTAACATGGGTTAGTGAGGGGGGTTAACCTGGGTTAGTGAGGGGTTAACATGGGTTAATGATGGGGTTAACATGGGTTAGTGAGAGGTTAACCTGGGTTACTGAGGGGTTAACATGGGTTAGTGAGGGGTTAACCTAGGCTAGTGAGGGGTTAACATGGGTTAGTGAGGGGGGTTAACCTGGGTTAGTGAGGGGGGTTAACCTGGGCTAGTGAGGGGGGTTAACCTGGGTTAGTGAGGGGTTAACATGGGTTAATGATGGGGTTAACATGGGTTAGTGAGAGGTTAACCTGGGTTACTGAGGGGTTAGTGAGGGGTTAACCTGGGCTAGTGAGGGGTTAACCTGGGCTAGTGAGGGTAACCAAGGTTAGTGAGAGGTTAAGATTAACATTTGCCAGAGAGCAGTTAACATGGTTTAGCGAGGGGTTAAGATTAACCTGTAGTCCAGCTAGTAAGTATAGTCTAGCTAGTGACTGTAATCTAGCAGGTGACTGTAGTCTAGCTAGTGACTGTAGTCTAGCTAGTGACTGTAGTCCAGCTAGTAAGTATAGTCTAGCAGGTGACTAGTCCAGCTAGTGGCTGTAGCCTAGCTAGTGACAAGTCCAGCTAGTAAGTATAGCTAGTGACCATAGTCTAGCAGGTGACTGTAGTCCAGCTAGTAAGCATAGTCTAGCTAGTGACTGTAATCTAGCAGGTGACTGTAGTCTAGCTAGTGACTAGTCCAGCTAGTGACAGTAGTCTAGCAGGTGACTAGTCTAGCTAGTGACTGTAGTCCAGCTAGTGACTAGTCCAGCTAGTGGCTGTAGCCTAGCTAGTGACTAGTTTAGCTAGCTAGTGTCTAGTCCAGCCAGTGACTGTAGCTAGTGACTAGCATGTGACTAGTCTAGCTAGTGACTAGTCCAGCTAGTGGCTGTAGTCTGGCTAGTGACTAGTCCAGCTACTGACTAGTGTAGCTAGTGACGAGTCTAGCTAGTGACTGTAGTCTAGCCAGTGACTAGTCTAGCTGGTGGCTGTAGCCTAGCTAGTGACTAGTCTAGCTAGTGTCTAGTCCAGCTAGTGACTGTAGTCTAGCAGGTGACTTGACTGTAGTCTAGCTAGTGACTGTAGCAGTTGACTAGTATGACAGATGAGTAGCAGGTGACTATATTCTAGCCAGTGACTAGTGTAGCTAGTAACTAGCATGTGACTGTAGTGTAGCTAGTGACTAGACTAGCTAGTGACTAGTCCAGCTAGTGGCTGTAATCTGGCTAGTGACTGTAGTGTAGCTAGTGACTAGTCCAGCTACTGACTGTAGTCTAGCAGGTGACTGTAGTCTTGCTAGTACTAGTCTAGCATGACTACCTAGTGACTGTGTAGCTAGTGACTACCTAGTGACTGTAGCTAGTGACTAGACTAGCTAGTGACTAGTCCAGCTAGTGGCTATAGTCTGGCTAGTGACTGTAGTGTAGCTAGTGACTAGTCCAGTTACTGACTGTAGTGTAGCTAGTGTCTAATCCAGCTAGTTACTGTAGCTATTGACTAGTGTAGCTAGTGACTATAGTGTAGCTAGTGGCTGTAGCCTAGCTAGTGACTAGTCCAGCTAGTGACTAGTCTAGCTAGTGTCTAGTCCAGCTAGTGACTGTAGTCTAGCAGGTGACTGTAGTGTAGCTAGTGACTGTAGTCTAGCAGGTGACTGTAGTGTAGCTAGTGACTGTAGTCTAGCAGGTAACTGTAGTGTAGCTAGTGACTGTAGTCTAGCTAGTGACTAGTCCAGCTAGTGGCTGTAGTCTGGCTAGTGACTAGTGTAGCTAGTGACTAGGCCAGCTACTGACTGTAGTGTAGCTAGTAACTAGTGTAGCTAGTGACTGTAGTGTAGCTAGTGACTGTAGTCTTGCTAGTGACTAGTCTAGCATGTGACTGAAGTCTAGCTAGTGACTGTAGTCTAGCTAGGTCATTTCAGGCTCCCTCAGTACTTTACAGGCCATACAAAAATTTGATACACCTCGCCCCCTAGTTTTTCGTATCCAACTTTGGTTATGTCGTATCTCTACCAAGCACAAAGATATTGTTTTTTGCTGGGTCCCTGGTGATGTTGACATACAGGGCAATGAAGAGGCAGACACTGCTGTGCAGTCAGCAGTACATGACCTCCCAGTTTCATATAGAGGTGTTCCATTCACTATTTTGCTGTAATTGTTACCTACCTTTGCACTCATTGGCAACAACGTTGGTCTGATCTGCTCCATAATGAACTACATTCTATTAAACCGAGTATAGGTTTCTGGACGTCTTCTTATCATCAGTGTCGAGGTTTGGAGACTACTCTCCAGTCTTCGCATCGGCCACACTTGTCTTACTCAAGGGTATCTCATGGAGAGGTGCCCTGTTCCAGTTTCTGTTAGCCACATTCTGTTGTACAGCCCACTCTATCAACCAGCACGCAGAATTTACCTCCAACGTCGTCACTGCTCTACTGCCCTTACTTTACCTTCCCTTCTTGCTGATGGACCCTCTTTTAACCCAGACTCTCTCATTGACTTTTTGACAGCAACTGATTTTCTACACAAACACTGATGCCTCTAGTACTCACAGCTCTTTCTACCTCAATCTCTTGCTACCCTCTACCCCTGCACTATCCACTGCCCCGCTGCACTCCATGACCTAATAATCATCCCTCTCCCTCTTGCTGCCCAATACCCTTGCATACTTCCCAGCCCGGCAGCGCTCTATGACCCTTGTAGGTTTAGCGCTTCTTTTATTATAATAATATAGTCTAGCTAGTGACTGTAGTCCAGCTAGTAAGTGTAGTCTAGCTAGTGACTGTAGTCTAGCAAGGTTGAATAATACACACATATATATACACAGGTAAGTATTCTTTGGTATACAACACAGAATATTTATCTACGATATTGCAACATTCTTTAAGAATGTTGCAATGATCCCTTCTGTGCAATACTAGACATGTTCTGTATACAGTCATTTCTCTTATAAAGTTCTACTATACAGCCTCTCCTTATTTAACGACAGAGTTCCATTCCTAAAAAATGTCGGTAAACAAATTCATCGCTAAGTGAGGAGCATACTATAATGGTAGTGGGTTTGTCGACCATCTTTGATATTGTTTTAATGTCACCTTTGCACCATTTATAACATTTCCGGTATATTTTTAAATGTTTATACAGTAGTGTACTGTATATTGTAATAAACAGAATAGAGGAAATCAGCTTTAACCCTTAAACTGTCCAAACATAGATCTACGTTTTTTCAACATTTGAAAGTAGTATGTAAAAAACGTATTTCTTTTTTTTTTTTTTACATTTGAAAATGTGTAAAAAAACGTAGATCTACTTTTGGAGCACTACGCATATGAACGTAAATTTGTTTGGACAGTTTAAGGGTTAATATACATTGCTTAGGTATGCATACTGGTCAGAGAGCCCGTCATATGTCCGAGACATCGGTAAACGAGTATGTCGTTAATTAAGGAAAGGCTGTATACAGTCAGATGAACTGACTATATATAGTGGAACTTTATAAGAGAACTGACTATATAGTGGAACTTTATAAGAGAACTGACTATATAGTGAAACTTTATAAGAGAACTAACTGTATATAGTGGAAATCTGTAAGAGAACTGACTGTATATAGTGGAGCTTTATAAGACAATTTTACTAAAGTTGCCATTACAATTTTTAGTTATATTCTTAACACTAACAAAATTATTTATAAATTTACAGAATTATGACTTATTATAACTACAAGTATCTATTATCATTGGGTTAACTAGTCGATTGCTGATTTGCCGGGTTGTGGTTCGCATGGCAGATTGTGTTCCAATGCTGGCAGTGACAGCCTAGTTGATCAGTACCTGATCCATCGCGAGAGCATTTGGGAATTTTTCCAAAGGAACAGAATTGGAAATTCTCAATTTATTATGATCCTAATTGCTTTATTACAATTAAGCTCTTAATTATTATCATAACTGCTTATTACAATCATAATTAAGTGGCAAATTATTATTTTGGTCATCGTGTCCTCGAGGTAGATGCAATGGCTGCCATTTTGTTGCTATTCATTAATTTGGGGGAATGCTAAACCCTTAGGGGGTCACAGATAGATGGGGAGTGGGGGGTAATGTGGGTTGATTGAAGGCCACTTCACTTCCTTGGATTAAGATCCCTCGACCAGCACCAAGGGTTGCCCGCTACTGTGGGTCCTCATGTGCCGGGCCAGAGTAGATTTCCTCATGAAATCCTTTGAACAGAGTAGACAGCGGAATGGCCGTTCATCCGTGTGGACCGTCACGTGGCTCTTAATGGCCGCCTTGTTGGGGAAAACCTTCAAGCAGTCAGAACAGTTGAACTGTTTGTGACCGGAGTGGAAGGCAGTGTGTTCAACCAGTTTAGAGTGTCTGGAGAATGATTTACCACATTCGGAACACTGGTAGGGTTTCTCTCCAGTGTGAACTCTGGTGTGTATAACCAGCGCATATTTACTCTTGAAACCCTTAACACAGAAGGAGCACTGGTAGGGTTTCTCTCCAGTGTGATTCCTCATGTGTAACACCAGGCAGGATTTATTGGTGAAATCCTTTGCGCACACTGTGCACTGGTGTGGTTTTTCCCCAGTGTGTATCCTCATGTGCCTTATAAGAGAAGATTTTATAGAGAAGCCTTTCAAGCATGATGTACAATAAAATGGCTTCTCCCCAGTGTGGACTCTCATGTGCGTTTTTAAATGACCATTTTCGGTAAAGCCTTTCTTGCAGATGGAGCATTGGTATGGCTTCTCCCCAGTGTGGATTCTCTCGTGTTTACTAAGTGCAGTCTTCTCCCTGAAGCTCTTGAAACAGAAGGCGCACTGGTGGGGTTTCTCACCAGTGTGAACTCTCTTGTGTATAGTGAGGTAACTGCTAGCCAGGAACTCTTTGTAGCACACTTGACATCTATATATTTTCTTTTTATTGGCCTCCATGACTGCCCTGGTGGAATTCCTTGAAAATTTACTATTTTTATTATAGAACGAGTTTTATTCTCATGTAACGGCACTTGGCAAACTTTAATTCAGGAAAATTATCAATCTTAGACAAACTTTATGCAATAAAGCATACTTTACTGATTGTGATTTGAAAAATGTAACGCACTTTCTGTGCAAGAATCTGCTTTCAAATATATATTTTACTGTCCGGGAGAAACTAAGGGCATTAAGATACAGCAGAATCACGTATAACGCACCATGCTATAGCAGCCTTCAGTATAGTGGACTTGTGCAATAAACGAGAGAATCCACTGGGTAAACTCCCCCATTAACCTTCGATGTTTTAAACATCGCATATGGCACTATTACGGATACAGGAAAATACTTGTGTATTTAATATTCTATATTATTCAAACTTTACAAACACTGGGAAAATCCTCTCCATTAGTCTGTTTTAGAGGATGCACCGCGCACTGCCAGTTACAAACCGCCTTTTCCTGTATTTGTTCATTTTTATAGTGGCACTGAGTTTAAAGCTTAGATATGATTATAATATTTATTAATATGTAAATATGGGCTAATATAAATCGATACAAGACTTGGCAATACTTAATTTCCACAGTAGTGTGTGTATAAATGTGTATAAGTTGTATTTTATACAGTGGACCCCCGGTTAACGAACTTTTTTCATTCCAGTAGTATGTTCAGGTGCCAGTACTGACCGAATTTTTTCCCATAAGGAATATTGTGAAGTAGATTAGTCCATTTCAGACCCCCAAACATACACGTACAAATGCACTTACATAAATACACTTACATAATTGGTCGCATTTGGAGGTGATCGTTAAGCGGGGGTCCACTGTACTTGTAGAAATAAAGATTATTAATATTTTTATTTTGCTGACTGCATACACAGAGGTGTATGTTGGTCAGTATACCAGAATATACAGTAATACACATTCGTAACTCTACTAGTTAAGTATTTGTGACTGTGTATGCATGACAGCCTTAATGACTACTCACTTGTGCTTTATAGTAATCTGTTTACATTAAAGTTTTATCACCGATGTCATCATTGCTTAGTTCATCTTAAGTTAATTTTAAGCCAGCCCGTAATGCTATGCATAGTATAAGTGGCTTTGGCATACTGCTCTTTTCTGTATTTTTTGTACCTCTGTATGTGTGCACAAATTTTTAAATAAAAAAATAAATAAATAAATAAATAAATAAATAAATGACCTTGTTACCAGCAAGGTCGGACTGGAGTCCAGCTGGGTCCTTATCAAGGTCACAGGAAGTTTAAAGTCTTAGATTAAAGGTAGTTTTTTGTGTTATGAAATAATGGAACGATTCCGTGATGTGTTTTAAAAACGTATGGTTCCTAATAATTATCAAATTCTGTTTTTTCTAAAAATTTAATTCACATTTGATGGATTAGATTCTGTTTTTTAAAAACTGTCAAATTCACATTAGATGCATTAGATTATCTGTTTTCTAAAAACTGTCAAATTTACATTAGATTCTATTTTTTTTTTTAAATTATCCAAGTCACATTAGATGCAACAGATTCTCTTTTACACATATACAAATTCTAAAACTGTCAAAATCAAAACAGAACCAGGGCTGTTCCATACTTCAAAAAATTTCTAAAACTGTCAAAATCACAACCCCCTTAGAAAACCGACTACCATTACTATGACCATCATAGGCCAGAAGCTACGGCACAGCTAATCGACCACTCTTCAAATTCAAAGTCTTTTAAATCGACAAAGGATGAGGTCCTCGGCTGTGAGCAGTGACAAATTCGCCCAAAAAGGAGAATATGTGGAGCGTTTATGCAGAGCAGAGAACTGGATTCATCGTCTGGCAAGCAACCTGCTGGAGATTAATAAGGAAGTTAACCACACATTATTTATACCCGTTAACCTATTACACCAATTAACCCATTAATTACATTATTAATCCATTATCAGAGGAAACAAAAAAGTGTACATCAATGAGTGCCTGACGAGAAAACGTTGGAACATTTTGTTCAGATTGAGAAAACTCATGAAATAACAGTGACAAAATCCATGAGTGGTACACTTGAGATGGGAAAGCTCTAGTGAGAAAAACAGATGTAGGTCGTTTATATACTATCACAAATGAACATGATCTATCCAACTTCCTTAGGGATGCAGATCTTGCCGAAACTGATTAACCAATTTGTCCATAACATCATTATCTACGTGTATTGTGGTGTATCTTCTACAACATTATCATGCAAATCCTTGTACTATCATTTACTAATTAATACCATTTACCTCGTGTCCTATGTTTTGTGCTATTGCTTACTCCATTAAAACTGTACTATTAGTCAAAAATCTTATTGCGCAATTATTACAGTAAATTATACCTCGCAACCTGCAACTCTGTCTTTTTTTTTTAAATATCAAATCTTACCGTTTAAATTTGTTTAAATACAAAAAATGATATGGTGAAATGGTATTTTTTGTTGAATCTCTCGTGTATTCATTTTATAACAGTTCTTTGCATACCTATACTTTATACTGCCTTTTATGAGCAATATTGATTTACTACTCATCACAGTCATTATATTAACCCTTATTAGTAGTTATGAGTATCATTCCTATTAGTTATACATACTCAAATCCTGCATTACTTATATGAATGCAAATACTGATCCTGATATAAACCTAATCTTGCCACCCTCAACACCATTGTTAACGAGGAGCTGCTCAAAATATCGACTTGGATGATAGCTAATAAACTTACACTTAACACTGGCAAAACCTACTATATTATGTTTGGTAGCAGAGCAGGTGTTGTGCAACTTATCATTAAGATCGACAACACTCTAATTGCCAGACATAATGAGGGCAAATTCCTTGGCCTATACCTCGACAACAACCTAAATTTCAGCACCCATATCCAACACATAACAAAAAAAGTATCCAAAATGGTGGGGATCCTCTCCAAGATACGATACTATGTGCCGCAAACTGCCCTTCTCACACTATACCATTCACTTATATATCCTTACCTAACCTATGCTATCTGTGCTTGGGGTTCAACTGCAGCAACACACCTAAAGCCAATAATAACCCAACAAAAAGCTGCAGTAAAAATTTAATCACTAAATCCCATCCCTGGCAACACACCCCCCCACTCTTCATAGATCTAAACTTACTCCCTGTTCAGAACATCCACACTTACTACTGTGCAATCTATATCTACAGGACCTTAAATTCCAATATTAACCTTGACCTAAAACACTTTCTTGATAGTTGTGACAGGATCCACAAGCATAACACCAGACACAAACATCTCTATGACATTCCCCGTGTTCGACTAAACCTTTACAAAAATTCAATGTACAGTGGTCCCTCATTTTTCGTAATTAATCCATTCCTGGGGCTGTTACTATAAACAAAATTATGATTTACGAATCAATTTTCCCCATAAGAAATAATGTAAATACAATTAATCCGTTCCTGACACCCAGAAGTATTAAAACAAAAAAAAATTTTACATGAAATATACATGTAGTACATAAACAATACAATGGGAAATGATGAATGAAACATTAACAGCATAACACTTACCTTTATTGGAGATTCTTCTTAGTGTATGGAAGACTGGAGGAGGAGAGAGAGTGGATTGTTTATAGTTTGGAAGGGGAATCCCCTTCCATCAACACCTCAGGTACCATTTGCTGTTCTGGGGTTGCTTCTCTTCTCTGTTTCTTATTGCCACTAGGACCACCTTGAGAGTCACTGGAGTCCTGTCTCGCAAAATAACTGTGGAGAGAGCTCTGTTTCTGGCGTCTCTTTAACACTTCCCTAAAATGGCCCAAGACTTTGTCACTGTACATGTTGCCAACCTGGCTTGCAACAACCTTGTTAGGGTGATGTTTCTCCATAAAGCTTTCCATCTTACCCCACATAGTAAAAATCTCTTTAATTTCTGAAGAAGGCACCTTCTTCCATCTCTCTTCCTCCTCCTCTGCAGCAAGATTCTGAGCTGCGATGTGTTGCTCTTCCTGCTGAAGCTCTTGCAGCTCCTCAGTGGTGAGCACTTCGTTGTGGTCTTCCACCAATTCTTCCACATCCTCCAAACTTATATCCAACCCCATGGAGCTCCCCAGTGCCACAATTGATTTTACAACAGACATAGGCTCATTAGGGTCAGTCCCAAATCCTTCAAAATCCCTCTTGTCGACACAATCTGGCCACAATTTTCTCCAGGCAGAGTTCAAAGTCCTGGTAGTCACTCCCTCCCAAGCCATACCCATAAGGGTTATGCAATGTAGGATGCTGAAGTGTTCTCTCCAAAATTCCCTTAGGGTCAAGTGAGTGTCTGTGGTCACGGTCAAGCACCTGTGAAACATTGCTTTTGTGTAAAGTTTTTTAAAGTTTGCAATAACCTGCTGGTCCATGGGTTGGAGGAGAGGAGTGGTATTCGGGGGCAAGAACTTTACTGTGATGAACCCAAACTCCTCGAAAATTAGGTCATCCAAGTTTGGAGGATGAGCAGGTGCATTGTCCATTACTAGCAGGCACTTGAGATCCGATTTCTTTTCCACTAGGGCCAAACACTTCATTGAACCACTCAACGAAAATTTCCCTCGTGACCCATGCCTTACTATTAGATTTCCAAAACACACAATTTATTCTTCATAACATTGTTTTTCCTGAACACTCTGGGATTTTCAGAATGGTACACTAGTAATGGCTTCACTTTGAAATCCCCACTAGCATTAGCACAGAACATTAGCGTCAGCCTGTCTTACATAGGCTTGTGTCCTGGCACTGCCTTTTCCTCTTGTGTAATGAAGGTCCTCTTTGGCATTTTCCGCTGTATAGCCCTTGTGGCTTAGCGCTTCTTTTTGATTATAATAATAATAATTTGGCATTTTCTTCCAAAAGAGGCCTGTTTCGTCATAATTGAACACTTGTTCAGGTTTCAGTCCTTCAGCCTCTATGTACTCCTGGAATTCATGCACATATTTTTCAGCCGCCTTGTGGTCCGAACTGGCAGCCTCACCATGCCTTACCACACTGTGTATGCCAGTACGGTTCTTAAATCTCTCAAACCAGCCTTTGCTGGCCTTAAATTCACTCACATCACCACTATTTGCAGGCAACTTCTTTACCAAATCTTCATGCAACTGCCTAGCCTTTTCACAAATAATTGAGGTCATAAGAGTATCTCCTGCTAATTGTTTCTCATTTATCCACACCAATAATAACTTCTCAACCTCTTCCAGTACTGGTGATCTCATTTTTGTCAGCATAGTTACTCCCTTTGCAACAACAGCATCCTTTATTTCCTTTTTCTTGGCCACTATGGAACATAAGGTTGTGTAGGGTTTTTTATACATCCTGGACAGTTTGGCCACACTTGTACCACTTTCATATTGTTCAATGATGGTTTTCTTAAATTCAATCGTATTTCTCACCTTCTTTACCACAGGCTTGGCACTAGGAGCTTTGGAGCCATGGTAGCTTATTTAGTACGTGCAAGCACTAAAATAAATGGAATACAGTGGACCCCCGGTTAACGATATTTTTTCACTCCAGAAGTATGTTCAGGTGCCAGTACTGACCGAATTTGTTCCCATAAGAAATATTATGAAATAGATTAGTCCATTTCAGACCCCCAAACATACACATACAAATGCACTTACATAAATACACTTACATAATTGGTCGCATTCGGAGGTAATCGTTATGCGGGGGTCCACTGTATTATGAAGTATTTCGCTGGAGCATGTGAGGGGACCTTTGCTCACTGGTAAACAATGCCAGACTGGCTGCCACCCCGTCTCACGCCGTGGGTATGCGTCCCGGACGAACTACGACTCGTGAGTCAACCTATGAAAAGCGAGTCCATGTTTATACGAAAATAGCCCTATGATTGGCGAAATTTACGATTGCCGGGAACTATGAAAAGCGGGGGACCACTGTATTTCAAAGGACCTAAAATCCGGAACACCCTACCTGAAAACTCTAGAACTGCAGACACATTCATCACTTTCAAAACTACAGTTAGAAAACATCTTATCTCCCTGATACACCCCGACAACTAACTACATGATAACCACCTGGTGGTTCACAATTACACTCACTCACCCACTGACTATAAACCCAGAAATACTGATCTTAATCTTAAAATAATAAATCCTAACTAGTCATAAGTTTGCCTATGATACTCCAATATAGACACTTTGTACTGTGCCAAAACAAAAGCATTCACATTGCTAAACTCACAAATTATGATGTAGTCACTTAGCCTTAATACCATAATCTGTAAGGATTTAATGTTAAGAATTAATCTAAGTCTGCCCAAAATGCCTAGCCATGCTAGGTGTCCTAGTGGCCCCCTCTGTAATTAGTATTTTATAACATGTAAACAACACAATACCCAAAACCTGTAAACCCCATATTGTAACCCTTATAGAGAATAAACTTGAATTGAACTGAATTGAATTGAATTTATGAAATGACATACATGATCCTAATAATAACTGTCTTTATTACATTATTACACTGCTAGCCAGGCTAAGATACTACTTAGTGCCAACAATAACATAACAGTATTCAACTATAATGTCACATCATTAAGTAAACAATATGATGATCTCCTAGCAATACTCAGTTCTCTAAATATCAGTATATCTATCATTACTCTCACTGAAACCTGGCCAAAACATGTTACAAACGTCTATGCCATGCCTGGCTACATGGCCATACACAATTGTAGGCCAGATCAATTAGGAGGTAGCACAGCTGTATACTACTCTGACAAACTTGGATGTATAAAATCTTATTGGACAAGGGATGAACATAGTGAATATTTTTTTTTTTTTATTTTATTATCACACCGGCCGATTCCCACCAAGGCAGGGTGGCCCGAAAAAGAAAAACTTTCACCATCATTCACTCCATCACTGTCTTGCCAGAAGGGTGCTTTACACTACAGTTTTTAAACTGCAACATTAACACCCCTCCTTCAGAGTGCAGGCACTGTACTTCCCATCTCCAGGACTCAAGTCCGGCCTGCCGGTTTCCCTGAATCCCTTCATAAATGTTACTTTGCTCACACTCCAACAGCACGTCAAGTATTAAAAACCATTTGTCTCCATTCATCCTATCAAACACGCTCACGCATGCCTGCTGGAAGTCCAAGCCCCTCGCACACAAAACCTCCTTTACCCCCTCCCTCCAACCCTTCCTAGGCCGACCCCTACCCCGCCTTCCTTCCACTACAGACTGATACACTCTTGAAGTCATTCTGTTTCGCTCCATTCTCTCTACATGTCCGAACCACCTCAACAACCCTTCCTCAGCCCTCTGGACAACAGTTTTGGTAATCCCGCACCTCCTCCTAACTTCCAAACTACGAATTCTCTGCATTATATTCACACCACACATTGCCCTCAGACATGACATCTCCACTGCCTCCAGCCTTCTCCTCGCTGCAACATTCATCACCCACGCTTCACACCCATATAAGAGCGTTGGTAAAACTATACTCTCATACATTCCCCTCTTTGCCTCCAAGGACAAAGTTCTTTGTCTCCACAGACTCCTAAGTGCACCACTCACTCTTTTTCCCTCATCAATTCTATGATTCACCTCATCTTTCATAGACCCATCCGCTGACACGTCCACTCCCAAATATCTGAATACGTTCACCTCCTCCATACTCTCTCCCTCCAATCTGAATATACATTCGCTAAATTTAAATCTAAAAACCTAAAAAACCTTTAACAGTTGGAGCAATCTACAGAGTACCTCACTCCAGTATTTACTCATTTAGCAAAAACCTAAGAAACATGATAACTAACACAGAGATGAATAAACACCACCTGATACTTACAGGTGACTTCAACATAAACCTCATTCATGATCACAACCCACAAGTAACTGAATTCACAAACACTATGAGCAACTGCTTACTTCCGCCATCTATAACTAAATCAACAAGAATCTCCGACACAAGTGCCTCATTACTAGACCATATCTGGACAAACACTATATCCCCCTTAAAAGCAGACATAATCACAGATAACACCACTGACCTTTCTCATAACCAACTTGTGTAAATTGCCCCAGGACACAAGATCACATTCTGACTACATGATGAGTCATCTGTTAATAACTTTACTTCAGTCAACCTCAATATTGATGTGTCCATATTTTTTTACGTAAAACCCAAAACCTCTACAACAGGCATTACCCAATCAAAACACAAAAGATCACAGCTAAGAGATTAAAAACCCCTGACTTACAAACAGCATCCTCAAATCCATTGATAAAAAACATCTATATGAAAAACAGTACAGAATAGGTCTAATAACAAAGGCTATGACAAAACGTTACTCGTCAATACTTACTAATCTAATAAGGTCAAATTCAAATTTTTATTTCTTTGCATAGCTTACAATGTGTGGTTGACATGTTATAAGGAGTCTATTTCCCCTGCATAGTTTACAATGTGTAATTACAATATTGATTTGCTAAGTGCAAAGAAAGCCACTATCATGCCAAGGCATTTCAAAAAAACTATTACGAAAACAGATTTTATGACATTAAAGGTGATATGAAAAAGACCTGGAAAACCCTATCTAAAATTCTAGGATCTAAAAAGCTGTCTTGAAACAGAGTGATTAACTTAATGAAACCAGAAGAACCTCTCCTCCAGCCAACGAACTCAATAATTTTTTCTCGACTGTAGGAACAAATCTAGCAAACAAAATCCCAATGGTTAACACTCATCTGAAAGATTACGTCACTGATAACTACCCAAATACTCTATTTCTAGCCCCAACAAACCCTACAGAAATCTTGCTCATCATCAAAACACTAAAGAACAAGACAGGAGACCTAAATAACTTGCCACCACTTGTGTACAAAAAAGCTTCTCATGTGTTGTTACCAATTATTACAACTCTTTTTAGCAAATCCATTGCATCTTCCACCTTCCCATCCATACTCAAAACAGCAAGAGTTACTCTGATCCTCAAAGGAAGTGATCAATCTGAACTGAGCAACTATAGGCCTATATCAAACTTGCCCCTACTTTCTAAAGTATTCGAAAAATTAATTCACAAACAAGTCTACTCCTTAGTATCCCACAACATACTTAACCCTTGTCAGTTTGGATTTAGGCCGAAAAAAAATACTAACGATGCAATTATACATATGCTTGAACTAATATATACGGCACTCATACAAATGAAATTCCCCTGGGATTTTTCATAGACCTACGAAAAGCATTTGATACAGCTGACCATTACCTACTGCACCTAAAACTTGAACATTAAGGGGTAAGAAGACATTTTCTCGATTACTTAAAATCTCAGCAACAGAAACCAGAACTTACACACAAATGGCGTTAACTCCGGAACACGACCTGTTCTTGTTGGAGTCCCACAGGGTAGTGTCCTTAGTCCACTTCTCTTTCTCATCTATATCAATGCCCTCCTAAATGCATCAAAACTCCTTAAACCCATTTTATTTGCACATGACACTACTTATGTCTTCTCTCACCCAAACCCAACTATACTAACAAATACTGTAAATTACAAACTACTAAAAATATCTACTTGGATGACTACCAACAAACTCTCAATATAGACAAAACCTACTTCATTCTATTTGGAAACAGAACTTCAAATGTACAACAAAGCATATTGATAAAGGGTTTTTGCCCTTTTCCCAAGAAACACACAGGGGTTTCTAAATTGAAGGGAAATTTTCAGTTTTTCAGACCCACAAAACAGAAAATTTTCCAAAAAAGTCCCCAAAAAACAGTGGAAAACCTTTTCAAAGATACAGTACTTTTTTCCCCAAAACGCTCTTTTTGTTTCTTTCCCAATTCTCTGGGTTTCCCATTTACTTCTCCTTTGGTATTTGTACATGGGGACATCACAGCAAATAACCTTAAAATTTAATAACCAATAAAAAAAGCTGCATTTTTGAAATTTTTAAAATTCCCAAAACCTCCTGCACAAGACAGAAACACTCCCCCTCTTTTTAAAAGACCCTTTTAATTTTTTTAATTATAAAAAACATCCCATTTTTTATTGTGCCTTTACACCACAAAACATTAAATAAAAAACCCTTTCCTCTCAAACCCCTTAAAAAATTTACAAAAAAACCACGGGGCCCGCCCTACGGGAGGGGTTTATGGGGTACATAATAAGCAATTAAACAAAGGGACATAATACAAGACAAAAATCACTTTTCGATACCCCGGGTTTGTCCTTACAAAAATTTACAAAAAAAAGTCCCCAAAGATCGGGGAATTTCATTCCCAAAAACCACACAAAAGTGTCTCCGTCGCAACTTAGAATAATTTAAACCCAGCAAACATTTAAAACCCCTTCCCCATTTTTTCCCTCAACTATTTTTACATAATTACTTCAAATTTAACCCCTTTCGGGTTCCATCCCGTTGATCAACGGTTTTATGTTGAGTGCCCAAAACCCTTTAGATCAACGGAAAAAATTTCAAAGCACCGTAAAAATTTAGGGGGGAAAAACGCTCATAGGCTACTTTGTGAGGAGAACAGGTCTGCGGGGGGGGCGGGGGCCCGCCAAAACAAAAAATCTGGCGCCCGAAATAGCATTGTGGGAACGCCGGTTTCATTTAAACCCTTTTTCCCACCTCCTGTCGCAAGTCGGGCTTCTACTCCCCGGAAAAATTGGGACTTCCTCTTCCTATCTGTAGTTCTGCATGGGAAGGGGGAAAAAAAGACAAAATTTACGGTTTTGGGTCAGTTAGTGCCCAAAAAGAATGACCGGGGATATTGATAATGGGGGCAGAAAACCCTGACGTTTCCTAACCCCTTCTACCTCTGATGTGGG